ACCTTCAGCGTGCTCAGCAGGATCCCAAACTCCGCAATATGGTGATTGCTGCAGCCAAGGCTATCACGAACCGAGATATTACAAAGCAGGTTTTCTTGGTTTGTGAGTAGCAAGTTGAGCAGTGCCTCATACCTGGTTGGCACATCTAATGTTTGTATGAGGAAGCAGTCCTCTGGGCATTCCAAGAACTTGATGAGAACGTGTGAGCTGCTGTCTTGTTCTTCCAACAAATGTCTAGGTAGTTGAAGTCACCCATAAGAAGCAGGTTCTGTTGACCCGAAGCTTATTTAAGCAACCCAAATACTGATTCGTTTGCCTTATCGTCTTGGTTTAGAGGTTGGTAGCAGATGCCTACTGTAAGATCCCCCTTGGAGGTAACCCCTCTGATATTGACCCAGGGGTGTTCGATAGGGCTTCCACAATTGCCGTAGTTGACTTCTGGAAGATACTAAACAGCATTGAGCCCAATATCGATCCCTGGGGGGACCCCCCTTGTGACAGCTGCCAGTTTGAAAAGGAGCTATTTACCACCACCCTCTGGGTGTGGCCTGTCAGCCAGCTCCCCACCCACCGCACAGACCATGTGTCTAGACCGTAACACGTCAGTTTCTCTAGGAGGAGGCTGTGGGAAACCATATCGAAAGCCTTGGAGAAATCCAGGTAGATGATGTCCACCGCTTGCCCCACATCAACCGAGCAGGTTACTTTGTCATAGAAGGCAATCAGGTTTGTCAAGCATGATTTTCCCTTGGTGAATCTGCTTCATTTGACTTGTGATAGCCCCCAGGAGGATTCATTCCATAACTTTCCCAGGGACTGAAGTAAGACTGATGGGCCTATAATTTCCTGGATCCTCCTTTAAGCCCTTCTTATAGATGGGGGTGACGCTAGCCTTCTTCCAGTCTTCTGGAATGTCCCCTGATCTCCATGACTTCTCAAAGATTATGGAGAGCGGCCTTGCAATGATGTCAGCCAGCTCTCTTAACACCCTTGGGTGGATATTTTCAGGGCCCATTGATTTGTAGGGGTCAAGCTCCTGTAATAGTTCACATACCAACAACTTCTTCACTGACAGTGGGTCTGTGTTTGCATCAACTTGGATTTTTGTTCCCAAGGCCTGGGGCCCAACAGTGTCGGTAAAGACAGAGGTGAAGAAGGTGTTGAGAACCTCTGCCTTTTCAGTGTTGTTGGTGACTAATTCACCTCTCCTCTTTAACAGCGGGCCAGTATTTTCCTTGTGTTTCTGTTTGTTTACGTACCTGAAGAACCCTTTCTTGTAGTTTTTGACATCTCTGGCCAATTTCAACTCAAGCCGAGCTTTTGCTTTTTTAATTGTATCTCTGCACACCCTAGCAATGCCCTTGTAGTTCTCAATGGGTATTAGTCCGCTTTTCCATCTCTGGTCCGCTTCTCTTTTGGTTTTGAGCAGACTCAGAAGCTCCCAGTTAAGCCAAGGGGGTCTCTTGCTCTGCCTACTTCCCTTACCTTTAAAGGGGAGGAACTGTTTTTGTGCTTCCAGGAGAGTGTTCTTGGAAAAACTCCCAGCAGTCACTAGCATCTTTATTCTCCATGGAAGCTTCCCACAGAATCCCTCCCAATTGAGCTCTGAGTGAGCTGAAGTTTGCTCTTCTAAAATCTAAAACCTTTGTCTTAGTACCAACCTTCAGCGTGCTCAGCAGGATCCCAAACTCCGCAATATGGTGATTGCTGCAGCCAAGGCTATCACGAACCGAGATATTACAAAGCAGGTTTTCTTGGTTTGTGAGTAGCAAGTTGAGCAGTGCCTCATACCTGGTTGGCACATCTAATGTTTGTATGAGGAAGCAGTCCTCTGGGCATTCCAAGAACTTGATGAGAACGTGTGAGCTGCTGTCTTGTTCTTCCAACAAATGTCTAGGTAGTTGAAGTCACCCATAAGAAGCAGGTTCTGTTGACCCGAAGCTTATTTAAGCAACCCAAATACTGATTCGTTTGCCTTATCGTCTTGGTTTAGAGGTTGGTAGCAGATGCCTACTGTAAGATCCCCCTTGGAGGTAACCCCTCTGATATTGACCCAGGGGTGTTCGATAGGGCTTCCACAATTGCCGTAGTTGACTTCTATACATTCAAGGTTCTCTTTAACATAGAGCACGACTCCTCCCCCTCTTCTTCCCTGTCTGTCTTTATGAAACAGCCTATAGCCATCCATTGCAATCTTCCAGTCATGTGAATTGTCCCACCGTGTTTAAGTTGTTCCTATGATATCATAACTTTCTGACTGGGTGCAGAGCTCCAGTTACTCCTGATTGTTCCCCAGGCTGTGTACATTGGTATACATACGCTTGAGGTGGTTGGTCTTCTGAGTCTCATCTTGGGAGGCAGCTAAGGAACATTTGTTGCTGCTCTGGTTGGCCTGACTTATTCCCCAGTTGGTTGCAATGGCGTAGCGTTGCCACTTTGGACCCCGAGTCCTTCAGTTTAAAGCCCGCCTCACCAAGTTGGCCAGCCTGCTGCCAAAGATTCCCTTGCCTCTTCTAGACAGGTGGATCCCATCCCTCCCTAACAGACTATAGTCATCGAAGAATGTCCCGTTGTCATAAAAGCCAAATCCCTCAAAAAGGCACCAGCTATGAAGCCAGAAGTTGATTTTCATTATACATCTATTTCTGGCTGCAACCTTTCCTCTAACTGGTAAAATGAAAGAAAAGATAACTTGGGCACTAATACTTTTTGCTTGCATCCCCAGGGCTGCTGCTCTGGTTGGCCTGACTTATTCCCCAGTTGGTTGCAATGGCGTAGCGTTGCCACTTTGGACCCCGAGTCCTTCAGTTTAAAGCCCGCCTCACCAAGTTGGCCAGCCTGCTGCCAATGATTCCCTTGCCTCTTCTAGGGTATCTGTAAGAGTTCATAAAGTAGAAGGGAGTTTGTGTAGACCCAACTCCACAACATTGTGTTGTCTAAAGCTCTTTCTGGATCAAACTCTAATTCCTTGGCAATTTATAACAGAATCTTATTTGCATATAAATATAATATATAAATTGCACAAACTGATGCTTTCTTTTATCTCATTTAATTTTCCTGTGTGTGGACTCTTTACATACGTTAACAAGCTATTTAATACACTAGTACTTCAACATTTAAAAATCAGTTCCTTTTTCACATTTTAAAGTAACATATAATTTGTTGGAAATAGTTATTAATACAAAGACAGAAAACATAAGTTATCATGTTCTTCTACTCTGTCAAAAAATAACAAACTTTTTTATCCACTAGGTGTTAAGAGTGTACAAAGCTGCAGTACAACAGACATTGGATATACTCTTTCTCCCTGAAGGAAGAGAATTTCTTACAAGCACAGATGCAGTAAGCCGGGACTCAGCTGATCGTACCATTATTGCATGGGACTTCCAAAGTGCTGCAAAAATCTCCAATCAGATTTTTCATGTAAGATTAACAACTAGTATTGTTTGGGTGATTTAGTATTTCATGCTTGTCAGTGTTGTAAAAAAAAGCTTTTGATTTTCTGTAAGATCGTTGTGTGCTGTATAAAATACTCTTAATGTAAGTTGAGGGCTTGCTTTATTTTTATATTTTAAAAACACTTACTTGTTCTTAAAAAATGACCTTGAAGACTGGTAGGTCTACTTGTGTTAAAAATATTTACATTTCAGTGCTCATTCACTGACATCTAAGCTATATTTAGGCAAGGCCACTGCAGTGTCATTCTAGCTTGCCAGTGGTGCATGGCAGTAGTTGCTATAGTGCCACGTTTCTTTTCCCACATTTTTTCATATATTTTTCATCAGCTGCAATGAGGGATATTGACAAATTGAGTTTAATATTCACATAGTAATAGCAACCTGATACATGCATATAGATATCTAGTACGGCATAACCACAGAGGCAAAATATACTTTTATCAGTGCAGGTGCAGTATTTCTCTCAGTAATCTATGCAGGCAAGATATTTAATGGGCTAAATTGTCTAGAAAGGCTGACAGTTTCAAAGGAGATTACCAAGGAAGTTAATAGATAATTCCAACTCCCTGGGTCTTTTTTGAAAACCCGAGTCTAATATCCTATGTAATATAATATGATTGGATTGTATATAGATGCTTTTTGGCTGAAAAGGACATGTAGTTGATGATCTAATGGGATTGTTTCATGTTTAATTTCCACAGTTATGTCTTTGCCCAATATTGCATCTATTTACATCTTGGGTAGGCAATAGGGAAAAAAAAAAAAAAAAAAAGCAGTGAATATATAAAGTACAGACCAGTCATGTTCAGTATCAAGGAGTAAAAACCAACCAAACAACTTTTTTCTCCTTATCCCCTGCCAAACAAACCAACAGCAAAAACCCCACAGCCTACCTTCTCACAACTACAGTATCTCTGAAATGGACTGTTTTCCCCCTTTTTGCACTGTGAATAAACAAAACTTGGTGGTGATTTTGGAAACTCTGCTTTACTTCTCTGAATTTCACCTTTGAAATCTTCAGGGTGGGAGAGAACCCCTGAGCTCTCCAAACAGATTAGATCCCAACAGGACTTGATCTATTGCTTGTCTGCATTAACAAATGCATAGTTAAGAGCTCTAAAATAACCTGTTGCTACAGTATACCCAGCATAACAGCACAGTGCTCCTGCAGACTGTGTTGTGCTTTCTGATCCTTTACCATTAGACCCAGTTTCTCCCCGGAAGCATGCAGTGCTCTGCCACGGGGCACGCTCCTAACCAGGCACACTGCCTAACGCTGTTTGGGTTTCTGTTCCAAATGCCTTACAATACCCAGAACTTCCTTCCCAGTTCATCACTTCCAAGCCACACAACCAAACCGGTCTGATGTTCTTCCCACTCTACCACATAGCCCATGGTGTCCAGTGGTCACCGTCGGCCTGATGTCCTTCACATGCAGATGCATCCTACAGCCAAAGCTCTCTTAATTTGTATTCATGGGGTGAAAATTCAACACTGTGTCTTTAGGTTAGGCTGAAAATAGAAGAGGTTTGGACCTGGTGGAAACCTTGTGAGAGCAGTTGATTTCTGATGCAGTCATCATTCAGAGGTTTGAAAGTAATATTAATTCAGTCTTAAGTAGGAGCACTAGAGTAAAGCCAAGTGTTATTAATTTTTGCAGATATTTATGAATTTACAGCCAGCAGCAGTCTACATGGCAAATCACTCTTATAAGGAACTTCTGACTTAGTAGGCTAATAATGATCCCTTTTTTTTTTTTTTTTTCTTTTTTTTATAAGAGTGGGGTGGGGAAAGGTGTCTGTTTACATGGGGTGATTTCTATTCCTGTCAGTGTGGCCAAAACTGAGAGGATGGAGGATTTGAGAACTGTACAAAGTAGCATGGAAGGCACAGTATGGCTATGGAGCAAGGGATATGGGAGAAGAGGATTCCCTTTCACATTCAAACTTTGGTTTTCCTTGGGCAGGAAGAGGAGGGTTGAGTACCGTCAGGTTGGAGTTACCTTTCTGCAGCTGTTCTGCACTATAATTGTGGTTCAGAGGGAGATGGGATTTTGGTCAGTATCTAAGAAATTGGGGTAGCGAATTGATTTAATATTTGTCTTGGTGTAAGACTTTCAGTGGATTGTAAGGAATTAAGCATCTTTATATAAAGTATACTATGGATATTACTTATGTATACCTTGCTTTTTATGGTCTTTCAAATATGCCAAAAGATAACCTGAATCATTTGAACAAATCTTTTGTTTCATACAACAAAACTTTCTTTAAAATTATTTTTAGGAGCGTTACACTTGCCCAAGTCTGACTCTGCACCCTAAAGAGTCTATGTTTGTTGCTCAGACGAATGGGAACTACATGGCTTTGTTTTCTGCCCAGCGACCTTACCGGATCAACAAAAAGAAAAGATACGAAGGACATAAGGTATCCTTCTTCACTGGGAACTTAGTAGGCAAGTCTAGAAGGAAGATAGATAGCAAAGTACCTGTGCTTTTTAATATGTCTGCTAATAGGGTTTGATTATAAATCAGTGATAGATATTAATTGGCTTCATTTGCTTTCCTGTGTGCCAGTCTATTTTGAATCATATGCACCCTGAAGAAAATAGTTATTAGAAGTCTTTATGAATACTTAACAGCTTGATTAAATAAGTTTGTGTTATAGCTGTGTCTTAATAAACACCTGGAGAAGTCCTTAGTGTATATTTATTTAAAGATACAAATTTTTTTCGTACTATAATAATTCTCAGTATATCACAATGAACTTTTCTAATCAGCATCAGGAGTTACACTGTTATTGATTTTCACAGGTGGAAGGATTTGCAGTGGGCTGTGAATTTTCTCCAGATGGAACACTTTTGGTGACAGGAAGTTCAGATGGCAAAGTGTTTTTCTACAACTTTCATACAGCTAGGATTATTCGCACTTTGTCTGCACATAAAGAAGCTTGTGTGAGTGCAATATTTCACCCAGTCTTGCCATCGCTCCTTGCAACATGTGATTGGGCTGGAGAAATCAAGATCTGGCAATAGCAAGCAGAGTTATTTTTCAGGATGTCTCCTGTTAGTCTGTCAAAGGTGTAGGAAATAAACCACGGTATGCAATGTGAAATTTTGTTGTGATGTGTTGTAAACAGGAGAGACTGTTGTCTTTTCTTCTATGACCTCTAAGTGTATGCTTTCATAATGCAGTTAAGATGGTCTTGTGCTTAGCTGCTGAGCAAAGAAGTGGTCTTACTCTCTCCTTCGGCCCTAGTGACAAATTTCTGCCCCTTTTGTGTCAATCTTCTGGTGCTCACCTAGCCCCACCCTGGTTTGAGTAGCTAAACTTAAGAAAATTATTGCTTGTTTTATGTAGCTTTTCAATGCAGCTTTCTTAGACCAGGTTTTATCATAGAATCATTTAGGTTGGAAAAGACCTTTAAGATCAAGTCCAACCGTAAACCTGATACTGCCAAGTCCACCACTAAACCATGTCCCTAAGCACCACATCTATGAGTCTTTTAAATACCTCCAGGGATGGAGACTCAACCACTTCCCTGGGCAGCCTGTGCCAGTGCCTGACTACCCTTTCAGTGAAGAAGTTTTTCCTAATATCCAATCTAAACCTGCCCTGGCACAACTTGAGGCTGTTTCCTCTCGTTTGGTGAGGACATATTATTTAACAGAGGATGATGTTCAGATCAGTTAATGCCTATTTGATCTTCCTGGGATTTTTTTTCACTAGTTTAAACTAGTTTTCACTAGTTTAGCTCCCTGACCTGGTCACTGAAGGGTTAGACAAGCAATAGTGTAGTTCAAGGCAAAACAGCTTCTATGCACAAGAAGGGGGAAGATCACAGGGCAGGTGGGACTGCTTCATTTGGAAATGGGTATCTGTTACCAGCTCAACTTATTGTAAAATGCCTTCTGAGAATTCCAGGGAAAGGTGTGCCAGATAACTTGAAACTAATTTTGAAGTCAAGACATTTGTGTTCTTGAAATCCTGATCTTTAAACTTGAGTTTTAAACTTACATTTATGACTGTACATAAACAAAGCAAAACTTTGTAAATATTTTTAATGAAAAAATAAACTTTTTTTTTATACATGGTGTCTGTATTTCACTATTTTACTCCTGTTATTCTTGACAAGTTAGTACTCAAGACTATCATGGAATTGATACTTGGGGGCAAAACAATTGATATGCTACCCTAATTTATTGCGAACACACATGCATTTCGCCATACTTCTTGATGTCATTTAGACACAGAAAATTGTTGTCATGCTATTCAGTGCAGGGGATGTTCTTTGACGTTCAGACGGGAGCTGGAATATTCTGCAGTGACTAGAAAATTCATTAGGCCATAACTGTGTACTTAAATATGTATAGATTGCTTGTAAATGTATTTTAAATTTGCATTCCATGCCTTTGTATTGCTTGGTTCTCGAAATTATTATCCATTTTATACGTGTGTATGTGTGTATACATATATGTATCACTGAAAAAAATATGTCTATGCATCACATAAACCATGTGTATTCCCAACCTTGTCTCCATATAATATGTGCCTTCCTTGCGGTGAGTGCTATAAGCTTGTCTTGTGTTTGGTCTGATTAGTCCATAAAGGTGTTTTAACATACACAGGGTAATTGTATTGAGTAAATTGTCTCTGTCATGGAATCCAGAAGTCGTGTATAATAGTAACTTTTCCGCTGTAGCATCTTTTTATTCTTCTGTTTTTTTCTTATTGGCACAAATACAAGGGGGTTTTATCCATTTTTCACATACTCAGTTAAAACAGTTTTTTCAAAGAAAAGTTTTCAGAAGTCTTGTGAATGGCAGATTTGAATTAAGCAATGAGCAAAATGTACTCCATCGGTTTGTAGTTTGTGTTCCTTATAGCTTGTACTAAGAAATAAGCCTGTACCAAGACTGTGGATCCACAGATATATTATTTGAAATCTAGACCAAGATATTGTGGCTGCATGGTTTTAATCATCTTATCAAGAGTTATGATGGCTTTTAACACAGGGCATTAAATTTTAGTGAACCATGCAACGTAGCGCAAGTAACTTTTTTTTTCACCCCAGACTGTTCTTAATTTCTTGCTTCCTTGTTTGGCAATTAGGTGTTCAATGGGAGCCTGAAGTTTGCACTTCTCTTGACTGTGCCTCTAGCATACAAGCCAGCTGGACCCTGTAAATGACAACAGGTTCGGTGATTTGCTGAGTTACTCCTAATTCAAGCCGTGGGATCTCCATACATGTGAGAAGGAGTTCAGCTGAAAGTGAAGTAGTAGTTGCCAGTCACTGGGCAGGCTGAATCACAGCTGCGCGGCATTTTCTAAGAAGGTGGCTCTGTGTCCTTCCCTCCAGGTATTTTAGTTCAAAATGTGCTATTGCCACTTTGAAACTTGTGGCAACCAGTTGTGTCTGTATGAAGGATGGGCAGCACTGTAATTGTGTGATGCATCTTGTTAGCTCCACAAGAGATTATCTGTCTGTTATTTTATTAAATACAGTGTTGAGAAAAGCCTCTGAAATAAATGTGAGCTCATGGCAGAAATGCCTTATTGGATGAGGCCCCAGCTTATGTGAAGACTGCTTTGTATCTGAATGAGCTCTCAGCACATTCATCATTCATTCAGCTGAGAGCACCGCTGGAAAGAGTAAAAGGTCCGAGAGAGCAGTCTTTGGGAATCATTGCACGTATTGCATAGAAAAGTAACTGCATTTCGTAATATTATTCATGTTGTTGCTTAAGTTTAACTTATGTTCTGAAACATGATTCTGGTGTCTGGCATTTATCCCTCCTGAAATTAACTTGCAAGTATAGATTTTAGACTATTTATGGGGGGGGAGGGAAAAGCTTAAATTTGATTAAAGGTAGTAGAGAAATATAAAAGAAACTTGAAACTGTATAATCTTAAAGAATATTAAAATTAGAATTGCATTTGTGTCAGATTTCTAAGATGGCTGGAGTTTTAATTACTTATGAGATCCAGCCAAAGGTTTTATAATGCAATGAAATTATGTTCACAGCATTATCTTGTTAAAATCTCTTTCTAATATAAAACTGATTAAGACACAGACTGAAATTTAATCATTGGAAATATTTTAGAATAGTGGTGTCAATTAAGTTTTCATTATGATTCAAAGACAAATTCTTCCTTGTAATCTTATGTAATGAACTGTCATCAAAAAATATCCACATTGCTCCATCATTCTGCAATTACCAAATACTGTTTGGGCTGCAAACAAGGATTATTATGGTCAGATGAAGCTTTTAGAATGTAATGAATTGTTGGTTAATTAATTTTATTCAGAAAATTGTAATCTAGAAATTTTTGAATCTTGCTTTAGGAGCAGTTCTTCTAGTTTTATATAGAGCTCTCTAGGGCATCATATATTAGAGCCAAGGCAGAGATCTTCAGCATTTTGAAATAGTCTAGGCTGTGTAGATAAACAAGCCAGATTAAAATTAATCTATTTTGTACTGTACCAAAAAGTAATAATGCCAGTCTCTACCACTTTATTATTTGCCACTGGAGCGTTATTAATTTGGGGTGTCAGAGAATGCAAGCTATTCAACTGTCTTTATCTCAAAAACCTGCTAATTAGCAGACAGTTATTAGAATCATTGTGTTCACTCAGCTGAAATACTGTTGGTGAGTCACTCTATATTTCAACTACAGGCCTAATCACGAAAATAAGGTATGGCATTACAGTGGGATGACTCTTTCCATAGAGGACAGGCAAATGTAAAGCTACAAGACTATGGCAGAACAGAACAAAACAGGAAGATCAAAAAATCATGGGATCTCAAATTTACTGTTATCCTGATATATGGGTTGGACTGCATTCAACTGAAAATATTTGCTCTGCCTTCTTTGGCTAACCTTCATCTTGTTCTCTTAATCCCAGCTCCTCCTAGCCACTGCTCACATCCTCACCATTTAATTTTCAGTTTTTCTGTCCTTGCTTCAGCACCTTGTCCTCTGCATTTCAATGTACAGTAGTCTATATGCTTACGCTACATTCATCTTCTCTTCAATAAATTTCATTTTGTTGTGCTCTGACTTATGGCTTTCAGGCTTTCATTCCAGCTGTCATTAGAAAGGTAGCCAGAAATCCCAGAGCACTTTGCACTCTCTTCTTACCTTTCTCTGTTTTCCAGTTTTAATGAGGCTTATTACTTTCAGCGAGTCTCCCCTCTTTCTTAGCCTCTCTTCTGTCTACTTCTCTTTCTACCTTTGATTACTGGTTTACTGTCTTACAGATCCTTTCTGTTATAGCTGCTCCTACAAGGTGTACCTACATCAATGTTTCAGTTTGTCAGGAGTGCATTTTTTTTGAAAAAATAATAATAACAAAAAAACCCTCCTGGTTATTGCCAGAGACAACGCTTTGGTTCACAGAGCGCGCAAACTGCACTTCTTTCAAATGAACCTAAATGAGAAGATGTGCTCCAAGACCATATTTAACATGTCCCAGCTGGTGAGACTAGACTGGAGATAGTTCAGAGTATCCCCTACCCACCAGATACATGTAGGTTAGATGCTGCATTTTCAGAAGTGAGACAAACTCTACTAATTTACTCTTGGTGGACCTCACTACTTGCTAACGTAAATGTAGCCTCAGGAGTTTCAAAGAGTCTTTGGCACTTTCCCCTTTGGTAAATCTCTCACCTCTCTCTTCATGACTCACCCCTCTGGGCAGAGTGGTCATACCGTCTGATGTTTTCACAGCAGAAATGCAGGAAATTAAATTAATTTATGAAGGGAAAAGAAAGCAATTTTAGAAGCACTTGATCTCCAGTGGTAGTAAGACAAGCTGGTCCCTGCCCAGAGCTTGATGAATTCTGCCACGTGTACAGAATGACTCCAAGTTGGGACAGAGCAGCCTGGTCTGTAATGGGAATGGTAGATCTCTAGATGGGAGTAGGTGGAGGTTTAAAGGAATTAAGCTTATCCACCTCCCTTTCCCAGTCCCTGGATATCCTTCTACACAAGCTTATTTAGAAGCCTACCAGAAAGTACGTAGGTACTGCAC